TTGTTATTGTTTATGTTAAATTTATACATTTTTGTGCTGATAAGCCTGAGTGGTCTGTTGACTGACCTTTGTATTTGTTCAAATAATTGTTATGGGCAGGTTACAATGTAAAAATGTTTGTCATAATCATGTATTGTGATTATTTGACAGGAGTTTTACTTTTAGACTGTAAGTGTATTTAATTTAATTATAATGCAAATACAATACAAATTACACCAAAGTTTAGAATAATTATCATTTTAAACCAAGATTTAGAATAATTATCATTTTAAACCAAGATTTAGAATAATTATCATTTTGATCCATACATTAGTAATGTCTGACTGGGCCTTGTGTCACTTTATGTTCAACAAATTGGGCCCCGAGGTTAAAAAGGTTAAGAAGCCCTGATCTACGTGACGTGAATTTAAAACATTTACAGAGAACTACAACTTGACCTACAGTGTTATTTGGACTTTGGTCTTGCATCAGGTCCATCAGTGGTGGCAGTGGCTCGAGGCCTGGTACAGGTGGTAGAGACGATGACACAGAGATGGGCTCGTCTACGTCTTCTTTCTTGACCTCCACCTCCATCTGACTCCTCACAGCGGAGCTGCTCTGTGCAGCTTTCAAGCTCCTCTCCATCTTCTCCTTGCGGTGGGGGGACAGATCCCATTTCAAATAGGGAAATTCACTGTTCCTAATGACATCGCCCTGCTTCTCCAGAGCGTTTAGGATGTGATTGATGTGCTTGGGACTGTTAAAGCCGAGATTTTTGGCTATGATGAGAGCCGTGGTCTCGCCTGACTGCAGCAGATACTGTAAAATTTGCTCTTTTTGTTCTGCCATGGTGGGAAAATGAAGCTCCTGATCAGCAGAGCTGCTTATTCCTGCTTGTTCTTCGTTGACGTGTCGATCTTCTTCAGAATCACTTATTTCTAAAGAGGAACCGTAAGAAGAACTGGACTCTGTGTCTGAATCTTCTTCTGTGGCTCGTGCCTGGTTTTCTGTTTCTGGGTGGGCCTCGGCTTCAGCCTGCTGTGCACCAAGGTGCTGCTGGAGAGGTGGACCTTTAGTCCCAGGGGTTTGATTCTCCTCAGCTCTAACAGTCTCTCTACACAACGCCCACTTAGGAGGCGTGAGCCCTTGCTTGAACGCTTTCTGTGAGTTTTCCAAAGAATACAGAGCTTTGTTTACTACCTTCTTGGGTAAAGCAAGTTTTTTGGCCAGTACTTTAGCAGGAATACTCTCCCCTGGCTTCAAAGCAGCCAAAGCTCTGTGCACTTGGTTCAGTATCTCGTCAGTAAAAGTGATGTTTGTTTTCTTTACCCTTGAACTTGCTGAGCTCCTGGGTGAAAAGTGTCGGTCGGGGCCTTCTCTGTTTTGTTGAAGAGACAAATTCTTAAAGTTGTCACAAAAAGGATCTGTTTGGACACATTCCTGTCGGTTGTTTTTGCCTTGGGACTGGTTTGGATTGAGGTATCGAGGGGCTGGAGTCGCTCGTGATGCTCCTGTACCTGATAAATATGCTAAACTTTGGACCCTTTTGCCCCTCGCGTTGCTACTGGGGTTTATGTACCTGTTGTACCCTGACTGGGGCAGGTATGAAGAACTTGGCGACCAGCCGAATCTTGGCCCTCGTCCCCGTGGACCGCCTCTAAACTGCGGTGCCTCAGAGGTCTGCCCTCTCAGGAATTCTGCTTGTTTAAATGAAAACGAATTGGGAACTGGACCGCCACTGTGACTCTGTGGGTGATCAAAGGTCACAGGACCGGGGGCCGCACTGACACGGTCCGGTACAGGAGGAGCGGAGGCGAGCAGGGGTGCAGGTCTGTTGTAGTAATTTAAATTTGGGAATTGTTCCGACTCCGCCCTAGAGGGGAACGGGGCTGGGCCAGGTCTGCCGTAGTTCTCTTTAGCCTGCTGGTGGGGCGGTGGATTTCTGTAGTGTTCCTTATAAAACCCTCCTCTACCTCTGCTCATAGCGCAGGGGTGGAGCTAAAAGGGGGCGGTGCAGCTCAATGAGAAGCTTCACTATCACAGCATGTAGTCGAGCTCCAACAGAAAACCTGAACAGACGGAGAGTCGGGTCAGGACGGCCGCACACTGGAAACACAAGACAAACAAACAGGCAAAGTCAGATAATATTACTGTACTTTTATCTTTTAGTACATTTAGATTCAAGTCATTTAGTTTAAGTTCAGCATCTGCACCCTGCTTCAGTGGGCTTGGATGAGTCAAAGAACCTCTACAGGCTCAAGGACATAACTGCAGTCCTGATATCTATCTATCTATCTATCTATCCATCCATCCATCCATCCATCCATCGATCGATCGATCGATCGATCGATCGATCGATCGATCGATCGATCGATCGATCGATCGATCGATCGATCGATAGATAGATAGATAGATAGATAGATAGATAGATAGATAGATAGATAG